CCCCCCCCCCCCCCCCCCCCCCGTCATTTGTCGTCCTTCTTTCTCTCTCTGCAGCTGCTCGTTCCCAGCCCCCCGGGTCCCCTCACCGCAGCGTAGATCAGCCAGATCCCGCGATTCCAGAGGCTGAGCAAGACAGCCACGGACTGCATCACGAATTTTCGAAACTAGCCCCGGCCCCATCGCTCCCGAGTGGCCCAGATATACACTCCTGCCCGGCCGCCGCCTCAACTCTCGTTCCCCCTCAGTCACTCGCTTTATACCATACCTGCCCCGTCTTGCTCCAGGACCCAGCTTCATCGTGCACAGACTCGCCCGCCTGCAATTGCAAGCTACAAGCCCGGGGAACGCTTCCGATCTCTACTCGAAACCATAACCTTGGACCGCCCCTCACCGCCCGGCCACAGCATACACTTCCCTGTCTCTCAACCGCGCCTGTACGCCCACTACTTGCTTATTGCCGCACCAGCGCACCTCTCAAGACTCGGCCCCCTCCCAAGTCTTTTCCTCCTGTGGCGAGAACCTGATGTCTCAGTCCGTGGCCTGACGACCCGACCCTCTCAACCTTCCTTCGCCGCTCGCTACGCTGTCAAGCCCCTTGGTCAGCGCTCAATAGCCTCATCAGGCTCCATCCCATCTCCGACCCCCTCAACCAGGATCCATCTGAACCGCAAACCCTAAATCGCCAGGGTTCGCCGCCACACAGGCTCACCGTTGCGACATGTCCCTCTCCACCATCGACTCTCGCTCTCTAAGAAAATCCATGGCTTCTAGAAGAGAGCCCTCCTCGCGCCGCCTCACCCTCTCCACATTGGCGCTGGCAGCCACGATACTCAGCATCGTCACTGTTGCGTTTTCGGCGCTAACCGCCGCTTCCCTTGCCTCGCTATCCTTCCGCGCTTTGGCGATAATTTCTGTTCTTCTCAACATCGCTGCCCTTGCAGCCTTAGTGTTATTCTTAATACAGGTTGTGTGGAGGGGGGATGAGCGGTGGTACAGCTCGGCAAAGAGCCGAACCGTCCTCCTGTCCCTTTACTCCGTTCCCCTATTCCTCGCCAGCCTCCTCACCGTGGTCACGTACGGCCTGACCCAATCTCACATCGACCATGTCAGGGCAAAGGACTCCGGAGCCTCGAGCGACTTCATGGCCGCCAAGTTCGCGGTGTGGGCACTGTCCACGCTGACTCAGGCCATCTTCATCGTCGCCGCGACGCGATGGCTGCCTCTGGCCTCAGACGCGAGCCTGAGCCGCTCCCCGACCGAGATCCACGGTCAGGAAATGCGCGATCGAGCACCGCCGATGATGCTCGACCTCAAGGGTGAAAACCCGGGCGGAGACCTCGCGTCCCCGACCTTCTCGACCGATACATTGTCTCGCGACTCTTGGCGGTCCTCCCTCCAACAGGTCGTCCGCCCCATAACATCCCGCACGCGACTCCTCTCGATGACCTCTTCTCTCCGCAAGTCCGGAAGCTTTTACTCGGGCAACACGACGCGGACAAACTCCATAGCCCCTTCGGACGGCTTCGAGAGCTGGGACACTTCCAGTGTCGACCAGCAGGCGCGGGACATCGCCACACAGTCGGCCGACATACAACAGGATATGCTCAGGGTCCTCGGCCCCGGACGAGGCGGCACCCGTCTCGATACCATCCCGGGCAGCCGCCCCGTCTCGCCAGCTCGCGCCCTCGACGGACCCTTCCCTCCCTCTCCTTCTCCCAACGGCCCGCCGGTGCTCGAACTCAACCTCGACGACCTGCCGGCGCCGGCGCCCGCCTTCATGGCCGGCAGCCCGCACAGCTCGCGGCCCTCGACGCCGACGTCGATGACGACCATCACGGGCGTCGACGACGCCAACGTGCACCCGCTCTTCCGCTCCGACAGCCCGCACCCGCCGCCCGCCGCCTCGCCCGGCACCGTCGTCGTCGCATCCCCCTTCAGCGGCCAGGTCATCGCGCGCCCCAGCCGCTCGCGCGCCAACAGCCGCACCCGCGGCGCCGCCTCCGCCGCCGGCACCTACGGCACCTACGACGGCCACAGCATCCGCAGCAACGCGTCGATGCGCAGCCTGCGCAGCCCCAGCCCTCCCGCCCGCGAGATCACGCCCCCGGTGCCCGACTTCATCTTCAGCAACGGCGACAGTCCGCGCGTGAGCTCGGCGAGCTTGCGGAAGGTCAACTTGCATAAGGAGGGTGAGAACTGAGTGGGCTGGGGGGAGTGAAATCACGTTTTTCCTTTGTCTGCTTTTCTGTGTACCTGATACCCTTTTTTTTTTCGGCGGCGAATGTTGGCGCGCATTGTCTCCTCCCCCCTTGTATCCATTGGCGATGTGAGGTGTGTGGAGAGAAAGAAAAAAAGGAAGATGTGGTACCATCATTCCTTACAGTCATCTTGTTTTTTTTGCGGGCGCTTGTTGTCTGTTAGGTACACACTTGCGAAGCGAAAGCATATCTCTCTCTATTATTGGTTATATTATCCACAGCCGGGCTGCACGACCGTAATGTCTTATGGAAGGCTGGCATGAAGTGGGGGTTTCTTGTTTTTTTTCCTTGTCCTCTAGGTCTATATATCGGCGCGCGCGGAACCGGGGTTGGCCAAGGACGGCACGGCGATCAATTGGAAAGGCGAAAGTATAGGCGCGATCTCGATCGATCCAAAGCAAATCATCTAGTTTCTTAGAGCATCGTTCTAGAAGACAACCAAAACGACTACTCCGAATTATTTCATGGCACATCAAAGTTTCACCCTCTCTGTCTGCGTTGTAAACACGCGGAATGTGCGTTTGTGAAAGGTGTACCTACCTCCCCCCTTCTAGTCCTTTGAAACGGCAACTTCGGGATCACCGTTGGCATGATTCATACATTCCCCCTCCCTTCTATCAAATTCCGACCAGACCCTGAAGTTTCATCACGACGGGGAGAGGGGGGGAATGTGGAGAGGGGGAATATGGCTCGATCCATCATCTTCTGGGGCTCCGTTTCGTTTCAGCATCTCCATCAAACTCTCTTTCTCCCCACCCCACTCCACCCCTCCTCCATCATCACTACTAGCATCGGGGCTTCTTTCGATTATGAACGATGAAACATGCCTCATCGACATCCTCTTGCGCGAGCATGGATCAAGATCCCAACCCCCTTTCCTTCAGGCAAGCAAGTATAAAGGGATTAAGGTTAGAAAATTCTAAAAAGTGGGGAGAGAGAGCGGTGTTGTCAGACGCACGTGGATTGGCGGTGGCCCTGTAGCTGTTGTTTGTCGCAACTCGCAAGGAGTATTATTATTTCGATCGGGGGCGTCAGAAGTGAGGCGGACGGTCTAGCGGCCCCCTCTTCCTTTTCCTGATTTGTCTTTGCTCGAGCTGGGATGTGGCTTCTTGTTTTCTTTCATTCATTTTTTTTGGGGCTCGCTTTTGCGTTTGCTGATGACGAGAGGATGGTTGCGGTGTGGTGGCGTGGTCATGGTTGTGGTCGTGGTTGTGGTGGGGGACGCTACTTTCTTGCTTGGTCGTCTGGTCCTAGGGTGGTGCGGGTGGAACTTCCCCCCTTTTTTTGGTGTTGGAGAAAGCAAAGTGTTGGACACCACGTATATTCAGGGTAATCTTCAGCAACATGTCATCTTGAATAACACGCTTGTTGGGTGCCCCTTCATTCGTTCACCTATATAAACCCCACGTAGTAGCAGCGTATAATGAGACATCCAGTCGACCAGTTTCTACCAGTCCGCGCCTGTGATCACCGTCTGACACAAAGTGTGCATCGTGACGATGTGACTTGAAAAGGTGACCTTTTGCCCGGCCATTAATTATATTGGATATGTCTTGCTTCGTATCTATCTCCATCATCTTCGCTGCGGGTTGTATGCGTTGTTGTTGTGTCTCAGAACTCAAGTAGAAGGAAAGAAAAAGGAGATAGAGAAACACACAAATAGGCGCCGAGAAAGCCAACGTATTTGCTTACATGTCGATGTTGCTTGTTGCAGCGCTGCGGGGCCGACGTGGTGAAGTATTTTCAAAGACGGCTATACCTAGAAAGAGCTACTCGGTATGTTACTAGTACGTGCCATGGATGACGCCTTCGCATCCCAGAACACATGGGTATGGTCGATTGCGGGTTGATTTGCTTTACAATCCTTGTACCTTACTTCGTTAATTAATGCATATGGTGCAACCATGGGCGTTCGCGCGGACGATTATTGACAGCTTATATCGGGCGACGGACGGGTTATCGTTTATTTTTTATTTTTTATTTTTTTTGTCAATATTTTAACGTTTGCATGCTCAGCTCCTTGGCTCGTCACGTCGTCGCTGCAGCTTATGCTTGCGGCTCCCTGCAGCGGCGGGGCTGCTGCAGCTCGGATGGATCAAGGCCAATGACAGTGCAGCTTCAGCTGGAGATGGGCGCGGTGCGCAACCGGCGCAAACGACTGGGTGCTTCAGACGAAACGCTGTGGGGACGGTGTCATGAGAGGCAGCGCAGACTGTACACCAATTGCGAGCATGAAGTTCGTTCCGGAGCGCGGAGCGAGGTCCGGGCCGCTGTAGTCAAACGGGTCGGGCAAGGGGGCGCGTTGCGCTGGAGATTGAGGCACGCAGGCAAATACCAGGTGAATCTACAAGGCGGAGGCGTCAAAAGCGGCTGCAAGCTTGGATGTGTCTGGTGACGATCAAGAGGATCTCAGGTTTTGACGGCGGCAGGCAGGACCTGCATCCAGGTCGCTTCGGCAAATCAGCTGAGGCTTGGCGGGGGCTTTGGCGACGTGTTGCGGTTTTCGTACCGGGAGGGCAAAGGGTTGGAATGGCCGGGATGATGTTGGCGGAAATGGTCGGCCAGCGCGTGTGGGCAGCGGGCAGTGGGCAGGCGGGCGCGGGCTTGGCGGCGCGGAGGTCTAGAAGATTTCAGGTGGCGAGCAGTGGTTGTCCCCTAGGTTGGGACAGGCCGGGCGTTCTTGCCGCGGCGGCTTCGATGCGCGCGCGACTGAGGGCTGGTCAGGATGCGGCCGGCCGGCCAGGCAGGCTCAGGCGATGAGGACGACGTACGGCCGCGCGCACTCGGCAGCGCACCACCTACCGCCCGGCTGCAGCCCTGCGGCGGGCACGGCGGGCACGGCGGGCTGGACGGCGGCTTGCGGCAGCTGGACTTGGTCGCTGGGGCTGGGATAAAATCCGAGTTTCGCGTGCTCTCCCTGACGTTTTGGGAACTGGCTAGCGCAAAAGGGGCTAGCCGGCCGGGGCGAGTGCTTCGCTCGCTGCTTGTCAGGTTGTTCATTTGGCTTCTGAATAGAGCAGAAACAACACGTCCTAGCCCCCGGGCCCATCCAGCGCATCGCCGCACCCCAAGCCCGCGAGGACCTGCTCAGGACTGCTCAGCGCCGTGTCCGCCCGCGAGCCCGCCCCGCCCCGCCCATCTTTGTTGTGCCCGCCGCCGGCCCGTCCCCTTCGTGAGCGAGCACCATTTTGCATTTGCATCTCACTCGAGCCCGCCATCAACACCCACTGCCGCCCGCCACCACCCCCGCCCGCCCAACTGCACCCCTGCGCTGCGCCGCTCTCTGTTCGCCCCGCTGCGCAATTCCACGTAAGTCGCTGAGAGCCGTGCTTCCATCTGCCGCCCCGCCATGGCCCGCGACCAGCTCGACCATCCGCACAGCCCAGCCGCCCCATGTGTCTCAACTAACCCGCCGCCAGCGAATTGCCGTCGCAGCAGCTGCCCGGCTTCCTGCTCCGCATCCTGCTCCCGCCGAATGCTCTGCTGCATTCGCTCGCTCTTTTTCTGACCTCCGCAGTCGCCGCGCCCCTCGTGCATAGTCGTCCATTCCCGCGGTGGCGTCGCCCACTCCTGTCACCGCAGTCGACTGGTCCATGGTCGCAGCCGCTGGACGCTGACCGAGCGAGCTCTGCCATCGCCGTCTGACCGCTTCGATTAATTCTCCGGTGAGTTTGGACCCTTCCCGACCGGCTCACATGGTCGCGAGCCCACCACGTACCAAGCCGCCTGACACTACCCAACCCCAGCCCTCCACTTCACCATGAAGCGCAGACGAGGCGGCGCCAAGTCGACCTCGCGCAGCCCTGAAATGACCAAGCAAGGTTCGTATTCTGCTTGACATTGAGCCCTCCTTGCTCGCAGACTTTTCATTGACGCCTCTCATCTCGGCCAGCCACATCGCCGGAAACGCGGTTACGCAGGTCCAGTACGCGAGCCGCTAGCCTGACGCCCTCGAAGCCGGCCAGGCGGCACCCGACTGAGGCTTTGCACATGACGACGCGCGCTGCTGGCAAGGCCGCCTCCACTGCTGGCACTGACTCGCCTGCCGCCTCCGACGCCAGCGGCAGCCGTCGCAGCTCTCTGAATGACTCCCACCCCCAGCCCGATGCTGCTGCAATTGACCAGACCCAACCTGCCCCCAGCACTGCCCACCCGTCCGAATCGCCCTCGGACGATGACGCCGAGCACCAGAGCCGCCATGCAGACCGTGATCCGATGGATGCAGATGTGCCGGGTGCTCCCGACTCGGACACATCGTCAGAGGATCACGACCAGGAACCCCTGGAAACTTCCAAAAGCGGTAATAAGAGAAAACGCTCCTCTGCCGGCCGCGACGACTACTTGCAGCCCCTTGCACACGCCAATGGTGTGAACGGTACTTCCTCGCCCGACGATGCCGGCCCGCCGCCGCCGTCTACCAACCACCCGAACCCGGAGCCGCCACGGAAGCGTGCCCGCGGAGGCTGGAGGGGCAGGGGTCGCGGCAGAGGCAGAGGCGGCCGAGGCGGACTGACCTTGTCCACCCATGCAAGCTTTCACACGGATGCAACCTCGACTCCGCCCTCTGCTGGCTTGCTGGACAGAGACCATCTCTCCGACGACCAGCAGGCTGGCAGTGAACGCCCTACCAAGCAGCCCAAACGGCTGCCTGGCCGTCGGAGGGCCCCTAATGCCGACCCAAGCGTCGAAGCCGACCTTCGTCGTCAATTGCAACTGAAGACGGCATATCGTGCTGTCGTCAAGGTGCTGAAACCTGTCCTCGCTGAGCTTGCCGATCGTGCCATCAATGATGTCGAGGATGATCCCATGGCTCACGAGCAGAGCGATCAATACGAAACCGTCAAGGCCGATTTAGATGCCAAACTCGCCGATCGCGTAGGTTATCTGGATCGAAAGCTCGCCATCTCAAAAGAACACGTTGAGCGCAGGAAGGCGGCAGAGCTGCATATTGCCGAGACGGCATACCATGTAGGCCTCCACCATTCTTTAGCGAAACTGCTAACTAATCCCCCTTCTAGAACGTTTTCTTTAACATCCAAGAGGACTATCTCTTACGATGCCAGTACGAGCTCCTGAATATTATGCGGGAGGCTGAGAAGCAAGAACAAGATGGTTACGCTACCGAAGATGAGGTATGATCATTTGAATCTTACGCTTTGGAAAATTAGAATCCTCTAACAATTATGCAGGACGGTCTCATCCCTCGTCGACGCGGTATGCAGTACAAATGGCGATCGACTGGCTTCCTCGACCCGAAATCAGACTCACGCAGTAGGTTCTATCTCGAAACAGAGAAGCTGTGGAGAGATTACGAGCGTCGCGCTTTCTCAAGAAAAGAAAGGGACAGCTTCTTGGAGAAAAACCCGGAAGAATTTGATAAAGCTGCAGTCACGTCTCGAGAGAACTTTACCACATACGATGCAGATCGTCGGGATCACGCTTTGGCCATCTACAACGCAAACGCCTTGGCTGACGCCGCCCAAGCGGTCGAGACGGGTATCAAACCTGAGCCGGTCGTCAAGACGCTACCCAATGAGGACGCCATTGGTCTTCAATTGCTCGTCTCTGCAATTGAAAATCCTCCGCCTCCGGCCCCTCTTCCTGCCATGGTTGAGGAGCGGAAGAACGAGGAGCGCGTTACGCCTCGCAGTACGCCTGCGGCTGAGATCAGTACTCCGAGGACGGGGAGCGGTCAACCCAGGTCTACCTCGACACCGAAGTCCACCCGAGGTCGTAGAGGGCGTGGGCAATCGGCGAGGACCACCCCTATCCATGCGACTGCTCGATCCAGAACTTCAACTCCCGCTCCCCTTGTCATGGACGACGTGCTTGAACCACTCGAACCCGGCTCAGCCATGTCGGCTTCCATGTCAGCGGGATTCGGGACTCGTGATCCCAGCCCGCGGAGAGCGATTATCGACTCGATTAATCCATACCTTCCCAATGACATGCGGCGGATTGATGCTCCAATCATCAATGGTGCAGAGAGGCAGGCGATGGCTGAGCCGCAGCCGCTAAGGCAGCCAAGCGTGTCCTCAAATAGAATCACGGATCTTTTGAACAAGGGTGATGAACCGCCCCCACAGATGTCTACGTTCATCTCATCCGGTCCTGCAGTATTGCCACCCGCGATTCTGCAGCCACTGCCGCAGCCTTCGTCAACTCCATCGGCTCCACTATCCGAACCGCCTCGTCTAGCTGCACACTCTGGTCAGCCTTCTGATTCTTCACAACCTGGTCTGACTGCTCAGCTCTCGCAGCCTGTCGATCGTAGCGAACGTGCACATGAGTCGTACATGTCCACGCTCTCTGAGCCGGACAGGACGTTTGATGTTGTTGGGACTGCGCAGCAGCGTCCGACCACTGCGCCAACAGAGGCGACGAGGCAGGAGGCGCCGCCTGCACGGAAGACGTTTTGGGATACTATCACAATTGACAACAAATCAAGGCCTACCAGTCCGTTGAACGCTGACAAGACGCCTTTGGCAAGGATACGACAGATTTTAAACCCTTCGAACTTTCCGCGCAGAGCCGACAGTCCCTCTGGGACCACTCCGCCCGCAACTGCGACCAGCATCAATGACCGGCTCTCTGAGCGGCCTGAAATGGCGCCTCCAGCATCGAGAGCATCGGTCTCGAATGATGCTGCGAGCTCTCGACGGTCATCTGGTGCAGCCAGTGTGCTTTCGCAGCCACCTGGTGCGCAGCCGGCGGCAGCGTCGCCGGTAGAGGCACCGAAGCGGTCCAACAGCCGTGACAAGGGCCTCGAGCAGCGGCAAAACAGATGGAGGGCAGCGGTTCCCCCTCAACATGGGCCAACGCCTCCATTTAGGCCTGACTCGAATCCTCCCCAGAACGCTTTTCTCAAGCACCAGGGCTGGACTGTCGAGTCGCAGATGCGGCTTTCACAACAGTCGGCGGCTTCGCCGCCCCAGTCGTACCCCAACTACGCTCCTCCGTACGACGCTCGCGCCCAGCCACCCGGTGGCTATCCGCCACCCGGCCACCTAGCAGTGCCGCCACCTCCAGTACCAGGTCCGTACAACTACAGCTACCCTCCACCTAACCCCCACCTTAGCGCCGTGCCATTCTTCTCACCGCCTTTCAATTGTCCACCAGGCCCTCCGCCATACCAATCCATCTACGCACCGCCCCAGGGGTATCCTCCCCCTCCGCCGGGGTACGGTGCTCCACCGCCACAGGGCGGCCCGCCGCCGCCATCGCACCAGCAACCGGGGCCTCCGCCGCCACCGGGGCCTCCGCAATCACACTACGCTCCGCAATACGGCGGGCAACCGATCTTGCCAGCCACGATCGACCGACGCAGCAGTGGTGGTAATCCTGGAGGGCAAGTCGGCAGCCCGTATCCAGGTAGTCCTCCGGCTCACCACCCGCCGGCATTCAGCCAGCAGCAGAGTCAGTACGGAGGCGGTGGTGCGAGTGGGCACAGTGAGAGGGGTGGCCGGGGTGGCCACGGCGGTAGAAGACGGTGGAAGAACACTGCGCCGGGGACAGAATTTAGGCCCTACACGGGGCCGAAGAGGCATTGATGTATAGGTTGGTGATTGCAAGAGTTGGAGCAGTAGCTCCATGGTAATTAAAATATGGTGGGGGTTTTTCCATTCCGGTAAAAAAGCGTCTGGGGAAAAGAGGGTTAGGAGGAAGCGGGCATCATCTGACAATCAGTCATCCACCATCTCATTCTTATTTAGTTTTTTCCGCGTTGGTCCTTGTAGAAGGCACAGCGGACACGTCTGCATTCGAACGGCGTTTTCTGCGTCAAAGCGAGTCTGATTCCAGGCATGACTTCTGATTGGCACAGGAGGTCTCTAGTTTAGTCCTTTTCCTACTGCGACAGTAAGCGGTCGAGCAAGCAATCAATACGTTGACTTTTCGGCTGTTCTCAGGTGAGGTTTGAGGAAGCATGTCGAGAATTTGCATCCGATTCAGAGCTCAAGTTGGGTGTACTCGAGTAGCCATAATTCCTGAGGCTGCAGATGTCACGCCAGGGCCTGTGGTTAGATGGTAACTGTACCAAGGACCGGGGGCGAGTTGCCTGTTTTGGCTAAAAGCGCATGATTCATGATGGGCCATGGTGAAAATTCGTACGCCATGCTGTCACCAAAAAGCATGGCACAGGGCGCAGCACGGGGCCACGACGTCGCGCTGCGCTTCTGTCTCAAGCGGTCGGTGACTCACGGCGATCTTCAGCTGTGGGAATTGGGGCGGGTGCCTGGACTGGTGGTAAGCAGCGCCACCACTCGGGGCCGGCAAAAGCGCGGGCGCAAGCGACGCAGCAGCGGATTCGTCATAAAACCTTCTGAAAACCACCCGCCTTTCTGCTGCAATCCTACCTACCCCTCCACACACCACCACCGCACGCCCAAGCCACACCGTTGATACCCCTCACCACAACTCCTTCGACCCGAACCCCCAGTACCGCAAAAACAGCAAAGAACGAGCAGCCATGGCGGTCCGCGCGCAATTCGAGAACTCCAACGAGTGCGTACTTTTGTTCCCAGCGTCTTTTTTGCCCCACCATGCGCCACGGCACGGCACGGTTTAGACTGGGCGTCCGCAGCGGCATACGGAGCATGAAGCCACCGCCGTGAACGCCCTCTTGCCTTTCCGTCACCGGATCCCCTCTGCCAGAATGCCATGCGATAGCACCCCGCTGCCGTTTCCCAATTCCTCCCCCCCGCCGCTCTCCCGCCGCTCTCCCGCGCAAAAACCACACTACGCAACACGCAGCTAACGAAACCCCCTTCGCCCCGTGCTCCACAGAGTCGGCGTCTTCTCCACCCTCACCAACTCGTACGCGCTCGTCGCGGTCGGCGCGTCGGAGAACTTCTACTCCGTCTTCGAGGCGGAGCTGCAGGACGTGGTGCCCATCTGCCACGCGACCATCGCGGGCACGCGCATCGTGGGGCGGCTGACGGCGGGGAACCGCAAGGGCCTGCTGGTGCCGACGTCGACGACGGACCAGGAGCTGCAGCACCTGCGCAACAGCATCCCGGACGCGGTCAAGATCCAGCGCATCGAGGAGCGCCTGTCGGCCCTCGGCAACGTCATCTGCTGCAACGACCACGTCGCCCTCGTCCACCCGGACATCGAGCGCGAGACCGAGGAGATCGTCGCGGATGTGCTCGGCGTCGAGGTCTTTCGCCAGACGGTCGCGGACAACGTGCTCGTCGGGAGCTATATGAGCTTGAGCAATCAGGGCGGCATCGTGCATCCGAAGACGAGCATCCAGGACCAGGACGAGCTGTCGAGCTTGCTGCAGGTCCCGCTCGTGGCGGGCAGCGTCAACAGGGGCTCGCCGGTCGTTGGTGCTGGCATGGTCGTGAACGATTGGATGGCTGTTACTGGTATGTCGCCTTTTTTTTTTTTTACGTTTCCGCGGCTTGTTTCGCCAGGCTCTTCGGCGCTTCTTCTTGCGTGGCTGGCGGTTTTGGCTGATTCCGCAACTGCAGGACTCGACACCACGGCGACAGAGCTTTCGGTCATCGAATCCGTCTTCCGCCTCGGCGAGGGCATGGGTCCTGGCGCCATCAACACCACCAACAAGGAGACAATGGTTGAGTCCTTCTACTAAGGCAGTCGACTCCCATTCCTTTTTACTTGTAAAGTCATCATTTTTTGGACGACAGGACGAAATCAAGTTCGTGCGGTTTTACGCGGGGATATTCTTGTTTGGGGGTAGATTATACCGGATTTCTTCGGGGGTTTCCACATATGCTGTGAAGGCTGGAGAAAGCGAACAAATGAGGATTGAGGGCGTGAGAGTAAAAAAGCTTGGATGAGAGGGTCTCTGTCGTCGTTGTTTGAGAACCCCCTTGGCTCAGACAAAGGAATCGATACAGCGAGTATGAACCGATGGCGTTGCATGGCAGGAAGCAGAACTAAAGAGCTTCTCAGGCCGGGAAGTGGGAAGGCCAACTGCGGGGATGTATCTGCTAAGGGAGTAGAGAGAGGGAGATCCAAACGAGCGGAGGAAGAGGACTCGGCTTTGGCTTTTTCTTTCCCCTCGATTTGGCCTTATGCCGCGCGGAACTTTGCAGGCGGAATTACACGGGCGAAGGGGAGTTTTGGGGGTTCTCTCTCTGCAGGATTAGCCGCCATGCTCCTGCTGTGCGGCTGTTTATCTCGAATATCAATCACTCCGCACCCAAAGCTCATCCTGGTTTTGATTTCTATGGTGACTTTGGTCTCTTCGATTTCTCTTGCCTTGCCTGTCGCTTTGAGTGAATTTCCTCGTCGGCCCAAGACTACTCTTATGCGTGTGTGAGCCCATCTCGGCCCAGCTGGGTGACTGTGCCTCTGCTTGCTTGGCGCTTCTTTGGGAAGTAGATTCCTCACAGCAGGCGGCCTTTCGTCTTTGCTCGCGTCTCAGCGCGCATGCTTCCAATGGAATAGGCGACGGAAGTAGAACCGCTAGTTTCGCGGCAGTTGCTCTTTTGTTTTATTTCTCTCTCCTCTTTCCCAATAAATCGGACAGGGAAAAGGGAAAAGATACTCCGTCCGTCCGTCCATCCATCCATCCCATCCCAGCCCAACCCAACCCAACCTATCCTCTCCTCTCCTCTCATCTCCTTTCCTCAACCACTTCCCTCCCCCTCCCCCTTCCTCCCCTCACCTCTCCCCAAACACCCCACCACCCCCCTCCCCAAGCACCAATCCCCCCAACCAACCCCCCCACCCCACAACCACCCACGCCACCCCTCCTCCTTGATTCCCTCCTTCCTCGCCAACCCATCCCCCCACCGCCGCAACCACCCCCGCCCCATCCTCCCGCGGCACCCTGATCCACGCCTCCGCCCCGTCCACCCGCAAGATGTCGACCGGCGCCGCGGCGCCGTGGGCGCCGAGGTGGGCGCGCAGGGCGGCGGTGAGGTGTTGGCGGGTGGTTAGGGCGTCGAGGGGGGATTGGGATGGGGATCCAGCGGATGGGGTGGATGGGGATCCTGTGGTGGTGGTGAGGAGGCGGAGGTGGATGTAGGTCCAGGGGGGGAGGCGGTGGGTGTGGGTGTGGAGGGTTGTGGGGGTGGATTGAGAGGACGAAGAGGTGGTGGAGGAGAAGGATGTTGTTGCTGTTGCTGGTGCTGGTGTTGGTGCTGGTGCTGGTGTTGGTGGTTTTTTTGTTGTTGCTGTTGTTGTTGTTGTCGGGGCGCTGGTGGTGGTGGGGCGGGAGAGAGGGAGAGGAGGGACTGGGGGGTTGGTTGTGGAGGGCATGTCTGGTTTTTTTTTCTTTTCTTCTTTCTTTCTGTTTTAAGGTGTGTTTGAGGATGAGATGAGTGAGTGAGTGAGCGGGCGTTTGTGAGATTTCTCTTTGTGGAGCCTTGCGGGGTAAATGACGGAGGCGGGTTCTCGTGTGCGTGCGGGCGTGCGTTTGGCGGACTTTTCGCTGCTGCGGAAGGGCAGAAGCTTTTTCTTTTTCTGGCGGCAGCGGGTTGTTTGGGGGGATTGAGTGAGCGGGATGATGCTGGACAACAGCCTATAAGACGGTCGAAGGGAGTCGGAGGTTCAGTGAGCGTAGTTGGCGGTCTTGGGTGTTGCTGCCTTGGTGTGTGTGAAAGGTGGCGCGCAGATCCACGATTGAAGCTATTGTAGGGCTGAAGCGGGATGACGCGCCCGAGCTGCGGCTGTCTTCGACACCTCCGACACTTTTTGTCGTTTCCCTTCACTCCGACTTCCAACCATCACGACACACGACACATTCCAACTCCGCAGCCTGCCAGCTGCACCACGACAGTCCGCAGTCATGGCATCGTCGTCCTCACCCTCGAACTCGACCGCGCTTACCAAGCGCTCCGCCGACACCGCCCTCATGCCGCCGCCACAGCAGCCCCCGGCGAAGCGGATCAAGCGCCCGCCCAGGATCATCGACGAAGACACGTACACGAATGCTCTGGAACATATTGTCGCGCGCGACTTCTACCCCGGCCTGCTCGAATTGCGCGCCCAGCGCGAGTACATGGCCGCTGTCGACAGCCATGACAAAGCTTGGATCAGGGACGCTGCCCATCGCCTCACCGACGTCATGACACCCTTGCCGGACGGACGCCGGAGGTTCGGAAGGAGGGGCGTGAGCATGACGCCAACAGCTACACCACGGCTCGTGGGCAGGGCGGCCGAGACGCCGAGGGGTTGGGGAGGGGAGACGCCGCGGACCCCAGCCGCCGCGAGCAAGGACGCCGAAACCGAAGAGGGAAAAGAGGAGCGCGAGGACGAGGAGAGGAAAGAGCGCGAGCGCAACGAGATGCGCGGCATGAGCCTGAATGCTTTCCAGGCCAAGTACACGTCCGAGGACAACGAGAGCTTCAACGCGCTGCTGGACCGCCAGAACACGAAGCGCGCGCAGAAGCACGCGTTCCTATGGCAGGGAAACAAGATCGCGACGGGCCGCCAGATTGCCTACCGCGAGCGCGAGGCGAAGCTGCTCAAGGCCGAGGCCGAGGACCAAGAAGACATCCGCAACAACGACCGCGCCCTGGTGCGCCGCGACCCGGAGAGGGAGCGAGACGGCGACACGCGCCCGGCCATGGTCGATCACCGCCCTTCGGCGCCTCGGAACTCGCTCATGTTCGCCCCGGAGTCCATCGAGGACACGCACGAGACGGTGGCGCAAGCCGCCCAGGCCGCCTCGACCGCCCCACCCAAGGCCATCGTCTACAACAACACGCGCCTTCCCGCTCCTGCTGCCGCTGCGGGCTCGGCGGACAGCGTGCCCCCGTCCCCCTCGCTCTCCGCCGTCAACGACGCCATCCGCGGCCGCCCCAGGCGGACCGAGTCCGAGGTTGGCGGCAGCAGCGTGTACGCGGGCAGCGAGACGCCGCGCGTCAACGGGTGGTCGTTCGTCGATGAGGATGATCCGGAGCCCGAGCTCGATGGCTCGCTGCTCCGACGCCTGGGTATCACCGCGGAGGCGGATGGCGGCCGGCCCAACCCGTTCACCATCCACCATGCGAGCAAGCGCGAAGCGCTGCACCACAGGCTCGTTGACAAGAGCTCGAAGGCAAAGAGAGAGGGCGGCGGTGCCACTCCCGTCACTGCTACTACTGCTACCGGCGCTGGCGGTGGTATTGGAAGGATCGCGGCTTTGAAAGGGGAGGCCGGTGGTGCAGAGAAGACACCGACGCCCAAGTTCGCGAGCAGCCCGGTTCTGACGAGGAAGAACGGCGGCGGTGGTGGTATCGCAGCTCGGGCTCGCGGCAACCTGACGCCGGCGGCCCAGCGACTCTTTGCTAAGGTGGGCGGAACGCCGAGGAGGGACGGATTGGCTGGATTCGGCGCGTTTAATGGATCATCGACGCCGGCGAGGAAGGGGGAGAATACCAGAGACAAAGTGAGGTGGACGCCCACGCCAAGGGTGAAGAGGACGACGGGATGAGAGGGGAGGAGGATGTTGTCGCGGTTCCTGACACGGGGTGTGAGGACAGGGAACCTCGATTTGCTTTGAAAGAGCGGGCTACAATGGAGTTATGGCAGATACCCCGGGATCAATCGGTTCTGCGAACTGAAGGAGGCTGCGTCCAGCCTTCGTTTGAGTTGTTTTTTGTTCCCTTCTTTCCTATCTGGTAGGTAGTATGAAGAATATTCAAGAGGTGCCCACCAAAACAATGACTCCGGAGTATTCATGCTGGGGCTCACGGTTTTGGTTTCTAGAAGGCATTGAATAAACTAAGACGATTCTTATTGGGGATCCTCCGGAGCCTCAACTGTAGAATTGACCTAGCATTCTGGAACGGCCGCTATCCCAGAATCAATAGAGAAGAATTATCCACTCACTGCTTCTGATACCTTCAACCCCCTAGACTTGAAGCTTGGTGATGTTGGAGGAGGCATCTACACCTGTAAAGCCCTTGGCCGGAGGATATCTTTCTTGATATAAGCAGAACGATTCCAACCATAGTGCCACTTCCTGAAGAATCGAGAGTAGCGTTCGGATCTCGGATCTCGGAACCAACATTTCGCCAAAGCTAAAATGCGAAGGCTTTTGGAGCTTTTACATCGACTCATACCGCTGGAAACCGGACAAGACATGAACTAGATGTCGAGAAAGGTTTCGCACTGCCTCTATTTTCTTTGTCAACACAATGTAAGGGCTGTTTCAAGCCAATAGAAGGGACATGGAAGTCTATTTATTGGTCGAACCTGTAGTACGTAGTCGGTAACCTGTTCGCCGCCAGGTTCACCTGAGAAGCGCCAATGGCCAAGGCAAGGGAAGCGATGGCCTTTCAGAGGATCATGGAGGTACTGGATTCGAATCGATGGTCTTTGCTCTGGACATACTGCCATCGCACAACTTAATGTTTCTAGACCGGCGAAGTTCATCCTCCCCGCGCTAGTGTCCAAAAGAGTAAAATTAGTAGCATATTCGGAGCTCGGAAAATTCGGAACTCGGACTATAGGGTAGGTAATTAAGTACACGCGTAAGAGGACGCCGCGTCCTAGGCCAGTACCTACACATGTGGCTATACCTCGTCGTCTTTACTCTATGATCCATCTCAACGTCCTTTATCGGTTTCCTGGCTTTTGTCATCCGCTTCCAGAGACTTTACCTCGCGCATTTATTTGTGACATTTTCATTTCCTATGGGCGTAATCCCCGATGCCGGCTTCTGCTGCCGCAAACCCGGTGGTCCCGTATACATGTGCCGTGTTCCCGTGCGGCTCTGCCGTGCTTATGTAGTGTTCCACGCTCCTTTTCGCGGTTCGCGCCGTGCCCCGTGGGGTGGTTGAATCCTTGTACCCTGGAGTTCGTAACACTTGCCTTTTGGGAAGTCTTTTGTCCAGTTTACCCGTCTATCATTTTCTTTTTGCAATCAGTGCTGTCGGATTCGCGGAGATCGTTTACCGTAAGTACGTCCAATAATATACCCAGGCAATACGTCGACGAACGCGTGTTGACTACGAAGATTTGGGCGGGGCTACGTAAGCTCTCTACGCGTCACTAGTGGACATAGCATCCCGGCCAGTTAAGAACCCCCTTTCTCTCTGACCTTAAGCTACCTTGAGCACTATGAGATTGGTCACTCGGAGTGGGTTCGGACTGAATTAGCCAATCACCTTTTACCTATTCGCTGATGGTGCAATGCATCTTCCTTGTTTCGAAACTGATCGACGACATGAGGCCTAACCACGGACTCTGCCAAGAGACAACAAAAGTTCAGAGGGTGGATGGAATGCCTGACAAGGGATACAAATAGTTTAGATAGCGCTGCAAGTGTGTAACGTCAACAGCCGCTCCTTCGTTTTTCCAATCCAAACCGACGATCACTGTTGGACTTGCGTACCATGAAGTTCTCCACCATTCTTCCCGCCGTTGCACTGCTTGCCACGCAGGTCGCTGCTCATCCTGAACGCCATGTCCCTCAGGCTGAGCTGGCCCGTCGTTCCCATCTCGCGAAGCGCTGTGCCAGTGCCGTGGGCAACCTCAACGAAAAAAGATACAACAAACGCTCTCAGATGAAGCGAGACCTGGAAACCCGCTCCGGCAACACGACTTACCAGATCACCACCGAGGCTCCCTTCTACGATGTCATCCAGAACGACACGTGCGTCCTGAGCCCCGAAGTGACCGAGGGTCCCTACGTCTGGCCGAGGTAAGCTCGAAAGAAGGAACCAAACAGCACGAAGCCGTCGATGCTGACAGTCGACATTAAGGTCTCAAACCCTCCGCCAGGACATGACAGAGGACCAGTCCGGCATCCCGCTGCTGCTGGACATCGGCCTCATCGACATGGCCACGTGCGAGCCGCTCCCGGACGCGCTGGTGTCGTTCTGGCACTGCAACGCCACGGGCAGCTACTCGAGCTTCACGGGCCTGTCCCCCAACACGGGGTTCCCGGACCTGCTGCAGAGCCTCAACATCACCGACTTCGAGATCGGCGTGACGGACCTGCACACGGACGCGACGACGTGGCTGCGCGGCATGTGGCCGACCAACGAGAACGGCATGATGGAGATGAAGACCATCTTCCCCGGCTTCTACGTCGAGCGCTCCATCCACATCCACGCTCAAGGTTCGTAGTATTCCGCATAGTATGTGCGCGCAACTTTCTCTGACGTACTTTTCTTTGCCGCTGCAGTGTACACCAACTGGACGCTCCACTCCAACGGCACCGTCGACTCGGGCAACATCGTCTCTACGGGCCAGCTTTACTTCGCCGAGGATCTTTCGCAGCAGATCATGGCTCTCGAGCCGTATGCCAGCCACACGCAGATCAACCGCACCACCAACGCCGTCGACTCGGTCTACTCGCAGGACACGGAAGGCGGATACAGCCCCATCATCAGCGTGGTGCCGTTGGACGGCGAGAACGTTGAGAACGGCATGGTCGGCTACATTACGATCGGTGTCGATACCACCGCTATTGAGAACTGAGTGGGCTATATGACGGATGACTTGGGGGGAAATTGAAGGACAGAGCGTTGAGATTTTAAACGGCTTATAAGAAAGCTTTCAAAAAAATGAAATATCGATAGGACTACTCTTAATGCAGGGTTCCCCACATGTGACCGAGATGCTACGGTGCGGCATCCAAAAACTCATCTTGGCTGTTCCTCCGAGGCTACGAAATAACCAAGAATACTGACAAAATGCTCCAAACAGTCGCGCTACTGTCCAATGGGTATCTACCTGTACAAACAAGACAGCCTCGCGGTTTATTTTCTTTTTCTTTTGGTTTTTTTCCCCTCTGATACCTTTGACCTCTAGATCTCCAACGCTCAGAGACATCCGAGCTCCCAAAGAGATCGAACCGCTGCCCGAACGCAACGAAGCGCCAGGACAGGCCCAATAACCGCTTCTGCTCGCCAAAGGGTCCCAGTCCCTGATTCACTCCACATCCATATCCATAGCGTCCTCCATCGCATCGCCAACCGCCTCCCACGGCGCATCCTCCATATCCTCATCCACATACCCATTCTGCTGCTGCTGCAAGCCGGCCCCCACCTCCAACCACGTCCCCTTCCCACCACCGCTTCCAACTTCTTCTTTCCCCCCTCCTCCCCTTCCTCCCTCCCCCTCCCCCCCAACCCTCCCCTCCGCAGCCCTATACGCCCTCTCCAACGCCCCCAGCACCACCCCCAACAGCTCCCGCAACCGCAAGCCCTCCACCTCCTCCCGCTGCCACTCCCACGCCGGCACCACCACCTGCTCGTCCGCGTCCTTCCACCTGTTGCGGAACCCCTTTGCGCGCCTCAGCGCCGCCATCACCTCTCCGTTGCCCAGCGCCGCTCCCAGCGCCTCAGCCCCAACCCCAGCCCCAGTCGCGGTCCCAGCCGCGGTCCCCTCGAGCGCCTCCAAAACGCTCTCGTGGTACCGGTGCGCCCATCCGCCCGTCGTCCTGGTCGATCCGGTTGCGGTTCCGGATCCGTCGATCTTGCCGCCGCCGATGTTATGGCTCGACGACGGCGGCAGCGGCACGCGGAAGACGCCGAGGAAGAGGACGAGGATGCGCTCGAGCAGGGCGTAGTACTCGAAGAAGTCGAGCTTGAACATGGTCGTCGGCTGGGCGTGGGGGGCGTACGCGGCGGCGCCGGTGGACCCGGTGGTGGACCCGGTGGACCCGGTGGTGGAATGATGATGCGACAGCGCCTCGCCGGATTGGAGGGCGACGGATTGGGTGAAGAGGAGGGTGTGGGATTTCCAGGAGAGGCGGTCGATGAGGCGTTTGAGTTTGGTGAGTTGGTCGGTGTTATTGTGTTGCTGGCGCGAGGGGAGGGGTGTTGGGGTGGAGGTGGGGCTGGTGCGGCGGGTAAGAGAGGCGGCTGCGTAGCGGGAGTGGAGGAGGTGGTTGTTGTTGCTGGTGCTGGAGGAGGAGGAGGCGGCGGCGGCGGGTGTGGACGATGGCCGGTCGATGGTGGGCACCCAGCGGCGGGCGTGGCCGATGATGTCGCCCTCGTCGATGGTGCTGACGATGGGTTCAGGTGTCGCCGCGGTCGCCGCGGTCGTCGCGGCTCGTCGGGTGCCTATGATGTCTCCACCATTGTGTTGCGGTTGCGGTTGCGGTTGCGGCGGGGTGGGCGGCGCTGCTCGATGCGCGGGTGGTGCTGTGGGAGTGCGTCCCCAGCGGCTGCCGAGGACGTCGCCGGTGCTGGTGCTGACGATGCGCTCGCCGGTCAAGGTCATGTTCGGACGGGGGTGAGGAGGAAAGGTGCGAGTAGCGTGCGCGAGGCGTAGGTAGGCGGGAGCCTGGTTGCGGCGCGGTGGATTATGATACTGGTCGGCCGGGGAGTGAGTTGGTCCAGGCGCCCGGCAGCCATGGTGCCTGGGGCATCTTTGTTTGCGCCCTCACAGCATGTTGGGTTATTTTGCGCCGGTCGTGGATGGAAGAGCAGCATGGGGTGTTTAGTTGACGTCCGGTCGATGACGTGCGGTCGTGCGCCGACGAGCCCCAGCTGCTCCTCGCACAACCGTCTGCCAACGAAATCGAGAGCTGCGATGGGACCTGGATGCAAGCATGGGTTGCAGCGTTGCGTACAGCTGCGGACAGTGGGTTTCAATGTGCAGACAGTCGAGGGCTGGACACTCGGATTTGTCCCAGAGTTATCATGCTATCGTGGGCACAGATGACATGAGATATATACGGCGGCTTATAGGGCTGCAGCTACTCGACAAAACAAGCAGCCGGATTCGCCGAGTTTCACGCAGAAGAACCCATGTGATGATATCATGTGTTTCATGAGAAACGGGGTAGGCGCGCATCATACGACCGCTTTCCGCACCTCTGGGACCAGACGAGTACTTATTTCAACAGGGAACCCGGCTTGGATTAGTGCAATCGTTGTCTACTCGTGCAGTCTGCTCGCTCTGTCGTCTCCCCGCCGTGCTGTGGCACCGTTTGCGAGCTGGCCGCACGTGGACGAGGCGAGCTCGGAAGCCAATGGGACCCGTGGTATCAAGCAATGCCTCTTCTATTTTCTGTACAGCGGCATGAGAATTCGCAGCCCCGGCCCAGCACCGGACCGGCAACCTTCCAGCCAGACGCGCTGCAGCAGCGCCCCTCACTATTCTCACATTCAACAAAGGAAACTTGGACTGTGTGCTACAAAGGCCACGATATCTTGCTACTATCCATTGAAATGGCGGCTTTACTCCTCCTTGGGGCCCGGCTTGCTCTGGATGAGCATACCCTTGTAGCCGGTGATGGGCTCCGAACCTTGCGACTGTGCCATGGGTCAGCTTATCGAGCGACGCGTCAATCTCGGGAACCGGCAAGAATGGTACCTTGAGGAACTCCTCGGACGCCTCCTGGTACTCCTTGGTCATGGTCGGCGGCGGCGGGCCCGCGAAGATGCGCGAGAAGCCGAACAGGGCACCGGCGGCCGCAACGCCGAGGAGCGTGTAGAGGATGATCTTCTTGGTCTCGTCGGGCGGGGCAACGGCGCGGGGACCGTGGGGGCCAAAGGCAATCCAGTAGGCTATCGAACGATCGGGTCAGCGGATGATGGTGTTGCGGCTTCGAAACGGGCGCGCGTCCACGAGGGCATCGACAGCGCATGGCGCCATGGCAGGGCCATCGGCAACGGCTTCGCACTCGCCTCTCCCGTCCTCCAAGCGTACGTACCGGCCTTCTTCTCCTGCGGGGTCAGCTCCTTCCAGTCAACCTTCATGCGGTCCCTGAGGGACATCCACAGGTCGGCCTGCTCCTCGGGCGGCATCTGCTCCCATCGCTTCTCAATGTCGGCCAGCGTCGGGTTCGAGATGGCATGGGCCTGGCGGGACTGCTGGGCGCCGATAGCTTGGGCGAGCTTGGGCGCGCGGAGGGCAGGGCGAGCGACCGAGGGAGCCGAGCTGGCGGCGCGGAGGATGCTGGAGCGCAGCATTGTGGAGGCGTGGAGTGGAGAGTTGCACAGAGTCCGAAGGAGAAAGTTCGTGTGCGGCCGTGGGGCTCACGACAGCGGGCCAATGGACGGTGGGTGGGTGATTGCAGCTGGGCAGAGTAGCGATGATGAGGGTTCGCGTCGCTGGATCAGAAAATGGACGTCTCACGCCACGGCTAGTCCCGGGCACGCTGCGAGCGAACGTCGACGGCCAACCTCAGCCTCCAGAGACAACGTCAATGGGCCTGCCATGCCGCCCGCCGCCCGCCGCCCGGTCCGCCGCCATCACGATTGCATTCTGCTCGAGTCTGCGCGTCTGCCGCACGCCGACGCAGCTCCAAAGGCGAGCTCGGATTCAGCCAATCAGCGGCTCGCGAGAGAGCCCGGGGCGCGCTAGGCCCGCCTGAGACGGCGCTGCTATCCAAGCACTGCTCGACTTCTCACGCCATCCCGCTGTCCTGTGCGAGCAAGCTCAAGCAAAGCCGCCGCCATGGGTGCACACTTGCCCACGGTGCCAGCTGCGAGCACCGAAGCTGCCTACAGCTCGAGAGCCGCGCTCCATTCAATTGCTGCATTACCAAAACAGCCGCTGTGATTCGCCAGCTGCCTGCACCGTCATCCACCACCTCTTCCCGCCCGTTCGAGACATGCCCAGGCAGCGGTGTTGTTGCATCCCTCTGTTGCTGTCGCCACAGCACGGTATCGCCACGCCCAATCCATCCTCGCCTCCGACCCTCCGTGACCGGCAACCGCAGAAAACTCCCTTGCCCGGCTCCGAGGTGCCTGGGGGGCCGCGCTGGCTGCACAAAGTCCCGATGCGCCCAAGTACGCTTGCTGCCGCACATGCCGGTTCCCAGTCATAGCCATACTAAGCATTCGTACGAAGTAGACAGCCGTCGTCGTTGCACCGCTACGTCTGACGGTCGTCCCTCAGAACTCGCCGACGGCCGAAGTGCTCACTTCTTGTCGCATCAGCGCGTTCGTCGGACGTGTCAGCCCACGCAGGGCTGGAAAGGACCCGGAAAGGAGGCGTCAGGACGGATTGGCGGCGGTGGCTGCGAAATATAGGCAGAATCTACATAGCTTCTGCAATTAGTAAGCGCGGGACTCGCAAAAGGAATTTGGCGTGCAGAATTGATCTGCGGCGTGAAGAAGACTCAATGGAGCGCTCAACCTACCAACGCATTCTTCGCTCGCCCCAGCGACTTTTCAAAGTCCACGGCGACGGCTGGTGGGTTAGAAAAAGTGCGGCGCCCCCCCAACAAGGCGGCCGACCCGCTCAATGTCAGCGCGAGGCGGCATGCCGTGGTTTGATCCGCCGCTCCGGTTTGCTGTGCCGCAGCAGCGCAGACGTAACCTGCCGGATGCTCCGGCGCGATGGACGAGGGCTGTGGCAATGCTCAGGATTATGAATCTTTACCCTGGCTGCCGAGAGCGGCGCGTCTAGGGTCTGCACCTTGGTGGAAGAGGGCGGCAGTGATCTGATGTGCTAACTGCATGCCGTTACAGTGCGCCCTTTTGCAGCGCCGGAAGGCGGCTCAGCCCGCAATTTGTGAGACAGGATGCGCTTGGATGTGGTGATGCTTCGACTCATCGCGCGCAGGATGCGCAGGGTGGCAGCGCAGCAGATTACCGGGCCGATGAGTGGGCTCTCGTACTATGTCAGACCAGCCGTCCCCGTTGATTGAGCAGGCCATGACATTCGACCGTGGCCTGCCTGAGGCTAGAGGCTTCGACGGCCGGTGGGTCGGTCGCGATACGGGCTGCGAAATCGCTCAACCGCCGTACGCAGCGTGTTTTTATCTTTTCGGCGGTGGTTGCGGGTACTCAGCACACAGCGCTGCCAGCGTAATAGTTTACAGCCGATGCACCGATCGCACCCGCGCGAGTTGCGCCGGGGCCGGCGGGCAAAGTCGGGAAGGCGAGCTGCAGGCCCCATGTCCCGAGGCAGTATGCGGGGAGCAAGGCGATCCGGCCGTGCAAGGCGGCAAGGCCCTGGATGATATCATCCGAGAGCAGCAAGTAGAGCTCTCGTGGAGTCTGTCGCGCCATGTGCTGAGATGGTGCGTGGGAGGCTATCAAAAGACGCAGATTTGATCACGTTATACACGCGTTTTGTAAACTAAACTGCCCCTCACACCCCCACCAACCGCTGGGCTTTTCTCAACAGGTCCACTACAAATAGCCCCTCCTATCGCCGCATCCTCACACCCTCCTCTCTGCACTTCCATCCAAACACTCCTCACAACACAACCTCACACTTCCTCAGGTAAGTCCCCTCGCTCCCACGCCCTGCCTCACCAAACCACGGCTGCTGACGTCAGGCCCAACAGAAGAATCCTTAGCAACCATGGTCAAGGTACGACACCACGTCGTCGCTGCCCCACCAGACAGGTTCTGACAGCTGGATACAGGTCGGCATCAACGGTTTCGGTCGCATTGGCCGCATCGTCTTCCGCAACGCGTGAGTAGCTTGCTGCCTCGAACCTACCCCGCCTACCCCGCTGCAGGAGCTGACCCTTGTGCCAACAGCATCGAGCACGGAGATGTCGATGTCGTCGCCGTCAACGACCCCTTCATCGAGCCCAAGTATGCTGTACGTACACCACAATCACGGAGCGAGAGCTCGAGCACCGCCTGACGGCTTGCTCGGGTGCCGGAGAAGCGGATGGCTAACGGCGGCTCTGCAGGCCTACATGCTCAAGTACGACTCCACCCACGGCCAGTTCAAGGGTGACGTCAAGGTCTCGGGCCAGGACCTGACGGTCAACGGCAAGACGGTCCGCTTCTACCAGGAGCGTGACCCCGCCAACATCCCCTGGTCTGAGACCGGCGCCTACTACGTCGTCGAGTCCACCGGTGTCTTCACCACCACGGAGAAGGCCAAGGCTCACTTGAAGGGTGGCGCCAAGAAGGTCGTCATCTCGGCTCCCTCTGCCGATGCCCCCATGTTCGTCATGGGTGTCAACCAGGAGACGTACAAGTCGGACATTGATGTCCTCTCCAACGCCTCTTGCACCACCAACTGCCTGGCTCCCCTCGCCAAGGTCATCCACGACAAGTACGGCATTGTTGAGGCTCTCATGACCACTGTCCACTCGTACACTGCCACCCAGAAGACGGTTGACGGTCCCTCGGCCAAGGACTGGCGTGGTGGCCGCACTGCTGCTACCAACATCATCCCCAGCAGCACCGGTGCCGCCAAGGCTGTCGGCAAGGTCATCCCCGACCTCAACGGCAAGCTCACCGGCATGGCCTTCCGTGTCCCCACGTCCAACGTCTCGGTTGTGGACCTGACTGCCCGTCTCGAGAAGGGCGCCAGCTACGACGAGATCAAGGAGACGATCCGCCAGGCCTCCGAGGGTCCCCTCAAGGGCATTCTTGGCTTCACGGACGAGGACGTTGTCTCGTCTGACCTCAACGGCGACAACCACTCGTCCATCTTCGACGCCAAGGCGGGTATCTCGCTCAACAACAACTTCGTCAAGCTCGTCTCGTGGTACGACAACGAGTGGGGCTACTCCCGCCGTGTCCTCGACCTTCTGGGTAAGTTGAGATCATTTGAACATGCGGGCGCAGATGGCTAACAGTGGGACAGTCTACATTGCCAAGGTTGACGGCAACGCTTGAATCTCTAAAGAAGAGATCGGCAATCGGAGCCGCCTGTAGAGGGCGGGATCTGAAGTGGGAAAAAATGAGCACAAAAGCTTCGGCATGACAGTGACGAAGGAAAGGGAAGAACCTGTGTATAGACAAGGAATTTTTATGACTTTTTTTTGGCGCCTACTTTCGACATGCATGTGACGTGGTTGCAAGTGAATTGACGTCCTGTGCAAAGCTAGATGCATCGTCTCATTTTTGTCATTGGTGCTGGACGCGCAGAGAGACGGAGAGGGTTGGTCCTCTGTCGACACTTGTTTTCTTGGCGTGCTTCTCAGTGATGGTCTGGTCCTCTAGAGTCACTGCAGGGCTCTTTTCACAGATAGATAGATGTGACTCGAACTCTAGTCGTCTTTGCATGATCAGATGAATTGGCTGGTTTACAGAGTGCATGCTTGTGTTGAGGTTGAGCCCAAGGCGTTGAACGCAGTGCATGGATATCCTCCGAGCAGCATAGGCGCCGGACTTGCTTGATGAGCATTCAAGGCAGTGGACGTAAGTTTATCATGGTTGAAACGTAGGCACAAAGAGCGGCGGCGTTGCACACCAGCCAATGGCGGCGAGGGCAGAGGCGGCCGCAGTTCAGCCGACGGACCCAAGCTCACCTGCACCTGGCGACCTTAAGCTATGCGACACCTCCATCCCCGACCCGTCACCGAGCACCACCACCCGCGCCCAGAACTCTCTGCTGAAGACTTGGCACTTCTGTCGCTTCACCAGCCGAAGGTGAGATGGCCCGCCCGAACTTCTCCGCCTGTGTTGCGTTCCGAACACGTGCGCAGCCACGCTCCCGCTTGTCGCTTGAGTGGTCGCTCACTCCGGCTTCCATTTCCATGTCTTTGCCTCTCGCTCATGCTGCCCACAAACATACACTGACCGCCCGCCATCCCCCAGGCTCCTTTGCCGTGCACTCTGCCGCCTGCTTCTGCCTCTGTTTTTCTTTGCTCCGATACGCTCTCGTCACCACCCCTTCCCCTCCTCGCTCTCTTTCCACCCTCCTTTTCCTAGTCGTACACCGGCGCACTACTCGGCTCCTCCGTAAGTAATTCCCATTTCTGCTTTCCCTCACCACCGCCGCCGTCGCCCTCTCTGCTGCAACACCTCCTTGCTCGGAATTCTCTCGGTCGGATGATCAGAACCAGACCGCTAACTCCCCACCAGAGATTCGTTACTGCCCAAACATGTCTCGATGACCGACTTCACCTCTGCACCGTAACTACTCTTGGGCTCGCGCGCCGCTCTCACCATGGACCTCGATCACGACATCTATGTCGCCAACGACGGTCCACCCCTGCGGCCGAATGAGCCGCCCAATGGCACGGATGAGACGGTGAATCCTTCCCTCATCTTTGGCGCCCCCTTGCCATTGAAGGACGGTCCGCAGTTGCCTCCTTCGCCCCACGATCCGTCCCTTGGGCCGTTCACCGAGCCCGCTGGCGAGCCCATGATTGAGACCGATCCGCCGTCCGAGTCGGACGACAGCTCCGACGAGGCCGCCGACGTCGCCACCTCCAACTACCGCCAAAGGGCCATGGTCGTCATCAATGCTCCCAAGCCAAAGTCCGAAACTCTTCCTTACAGTTCGTCACGCTCTGGTCTCGTGTACGATGTGCGTATGAGGTTCCACACTGAGCCGCTTGACGCAATGCTCAGTGAGGATGACATCCATCCTGAAGATCCCCGGAGGATCATGGAGATTTTCAACGAGCTTGCAGAAGCTGGCCTCGTGGAGACACCATCGCATCAGGTTGCAGACCCCGACTTCTCTCTCTGGAGGATCAACGCCAGGCCGGCAACTGAAGAAGAAGTCTGCTTGGTTCACACTCGCGACCACTACTCACGGGTAAGAGCGTATCAGAGTAAGTCAAAATGTCGTTTGATCAACTAGACTTCCAACTAATCTATCCACCAAGACTACTCACAAGAGATACTTAATGAGATGGCAGCGGACATGGACTCTGTGTACCTTCATCCAGCCACCTACTCTTGCGCAAGCCTGTCGGCTGGTGGAGCCATTGAAGCAGCTCGTGCGGTGGTCGCGGGCCACGTGAGGAACGCAGTTGCAGTCATTCGACCGCCAGGTCACCACGCTGAGCATGATGCGCCCGGAGGCTTCTGCTTTTTCAACAATGTCAGCGTTGCCGCCAGAGTCTGCCAGCAAGACTTTCCCGACAAATGCCGCAAGATTCTGATCCTCGACTGGGATGTGCACCATGGAAACGGTGTACAGAGAGCTTTCTACAACGATCCCAACGTTCTGTACATCTCCATCCACGTCCACATGAATGGAACCTTCTATCCGAGCAACAACTACGGCGATCACACGCACTGTGGCGAAGGCCCGGGAGAAGGAAAGAACGTCAATATTCCTTGGAGCGCCCAAGGCATGGGAGACGGCGATTATATGTATGCCTTCCAGCAAATCGTCATGCCCATAGCTCAGGAGTTTGATCCAGACCTCGTCATCGTGGCATCCGGATTCGACGCTGCTGATGGTGACCGTCTCGGAAAGTGCTTCGTTACTCCGCCCTGCTATGCACATATGACGCACATGCTCATGTCATTGGCGAGTGGCAAAACAGTCGTCTGCTTAGAAGGCGGCTACAATCTTCAGTCAATCGCGAGGTCTGCAGTCGCTGTCACAAGGACACTAATGGGCGAGCCACCGGACCGCTTGGGCGATGAGATTGAGCCGTCACCTCTAGGGTTGAGCACAGTGGAGCTCGTCAAGAGATATCAGTCCAGATACTGGAAGTGTATGTATCCAAAGCAACACAGCGGGGCGATAGCCAACGCCCTGCACGCGAGGAGAATACACGACATTGTGAGACAGGCTGATGCTACCGATTTCTGGAACGAGTACAGGATGACGGAGCTGTTCATCCTGCGGGATAAGATTTCGAAGAGCTTCGAAAAGCAGGTTCTAGCGACGTAAGTTTCCCGTTTGCATTCTGACTTCTGTCTGCCATGGCCGTATCTCGCTGTGAAATTTGAGGGACTTCATCTCATGAGGCATCTGTTGATTCTAAAAAGGCATAATTTCGCCGAAGAGCGCCCTCTTCTTGTCATTTTCCACGAGCCACCGGAAACCACGGCTCTTACCGATCCTCGGAGCAAGAAGATCAGTCTGCACAACATCTTCGTCGTACGTCCCCTCGATAACGGCCGGCTTGGTTTCAACTGACAAATCTGATTCAGACTGATGTCACGAAGACGTACGTGGAGTGGGCGGTGAAGAACGGATTTGGCGTTATTGATGTCAACATCCCCGAGCACATTACTGACCCGAACGTAAGGGCTGCAACCTTGACTTGTAATCGAGACGCAAGTGCTCACGTTTTGCTTCAGGGTCTACCCGAGTATGCTGACGCGGACCCCGATGAGGCACGTGGGCTTCTCACGCGCGAACTGGCAACATACCTATGGGAAAACTACATCTCGTAAGCTGTCCAGTCAGCCAATCGCTTCGCTTCGTCCCGTGCTGACAGGGCCAGACTTGGCGAAAACACGCACAAATTCTTCATGGGCGTCGGTGCAGCATATGGTGGTATTCTAGATCTTTTGGGGGAGAATGGTAAGCAAATGTTCGCACTCACGGTTTGTAACGGAAACTGACCGTGTAAAGACGACTGTTCCAAGGAGACGGACCACACTTTCGCCTTCATCGCGGAGAACAGTCTGCAGTCCATCAAGAAGCTTACAGATGACTACATTGGCGACTGGTACTACAATGTAAGATCTTCACCTCCAGGCGTTTCAAGGCTGGCGTTTCTGAATTCTCCATTTAGAACTCTCATATCTACGTCGCCAACAACCACGCCGCCTGGGACCCCACCCGTCAACGCAAGCTTCGCAAAAAATACGGCTACGTCATCCGCTCACCGCACAGCGACCTCTCCAACATGCTCGAAGAGCACCGCGATGTCGTCACGGATACCATGCTGCAGTCGACTGAGGAGTGGCGCGAGGAGCAGGCCGCAGCTGCCAAGCTGCGTGCGGCCGAAGAGGCGCAGAACCCGATCAAGCGCCATCACGCCTCCAACAGCGCCGCCTACTCCCACAACAGCTCCATGCGCGGCTACGACAGCAACGGCACCGGCGGGCCCACCAGCGCGGCCGGCAGCAACGTGGCAACGGCAGACGGAACCGCCAACGGCGGCAGCAGACGGAACATCAGGCACACCAGCCTGCCCGCCCCGGCCGCGGACCCGCGGAGCACGCCCACGATCAGGAGCCCTTCGGGCCACACGCATCCGCGCGGTCCGCCGCTGGGGAATTTCACCATCACGCCGACGAGGAGGGCGGGGAGCGGGAGCGTCAGTCCGGGGAAGAGGGCGAGGGGAGAATGATGTGCTTGGTTATTCAAAAAAGCATCATGGGCGAGGAGCGACCAGGTCTTTTTTTTTTTTAAGCCGATTTGAATGGAGAGGGGGGTTGGTTGAGTGTGCAAGCCGGCGATTGCCACTCTATTAGCATGGAAATG